GATATATTAAAAACAGCAATTTATTTACATAACACCTCAATTCACGTTTCTTCTAAAACAAATATCAAATATAAGAAAAGATCACATTCGTGGTTCTTCAGTTAGAAATCAGGACACTGTGCATTGCGCACCCAATCCCCAAATCGAGTTGGCCGCGGCCCCATGTTGCTCTATTTATGAAAATGCCACTGTCGTCCTCTCCTCCGTCTTCTCCTTCCTTCGTCCTATCTTCATCGAGACCGACTCCTCCATCGTTCGATAGAGGAGGCGAGAGAGGAGAATCGACCTTCGATTTCTCTGAAGGTTGCTGCGGCGTTGATGAGCTTAGGTTCCTCTTAGATGCGAACATCACGGGAGATTGGTGATCGTTATGAAACCCTAATTTTGGCATAGGAGACTCGAGGAGAGAGGAGAGGAGACGCTGGAGCTTGCTCGCCATTATTTTTTTTTGGGTTTTGATTCGGGATCCGCGAACTGAGAGAGAGGGAGGGAGGGACGCGAATCGATACACACAGATTCAGCAGAGGCTTGAATTTCAAAGAGATTTGAATTTCAAAATCTCAGTCTTCGTTCTTATTTCTGAGGGAAATCTGTCCGTGGAAATTAGTGTGCTCCATAATGAATTACTGTATGTGTGATGTGTGATCAGCTGCAGTGTTAAATCTACTGTTCAATTTACTGTAGCATGAACAGTGCTTCTCTGGTTCTCCCTTTTGTATAAAGGAATAGATATCACAACATGTTAAGCTACATAATGTATTGCTACCTGTATATCACATCATGTTAAATTTTAGTGATTTCCTGTTAAACATAGTTCATCTTTGTCCAGTTACATATTATCGCTTAAGTACACTTTCTTCAAATTTCTCCACTAATAAAAGGGGTTTTAAGGGAAACCTTCCTTAAATTAAGCCACATTAATTTCATATTACCATTCTTAATTATCTAAGTTTTAGAATCCTCATTCTGTCAACATACTACCACAATTTTATTTTAAAAAGTATTATTTAACGTATTTACCCATGCATCTCTTGTACACGTCTTGTGCTTGTGTTTACCTCCACAGAGAAAAGGAGCCAAGGAAGCCCTGAAATAGTTTACTGGGATGTAATTAAGAGTTGGCGGAGAGAAATTAACTAAGGGCATATAGTCTATGTAGGGCAAAATTACCATATCGGTACATTTTGTTGACCCTAAATTATAGATTAATTTATTTTCTTACTTTTTATGGACCATGGAGATAAATACTCTTATTTTTTTTTGGTGGAGCTAAAATTCCGATCAAATAGGGTCACGTGAGGTGTCACACACGTTCGATGTGGATGATATTGAAATTAGATATAGAAATTATTAAAAAGAGCTGAAAAGGGATTTTTTTTCAAATTAGGGATACAAATGGGGTGTCACGTGCATCCGATGTGACTGCCAATATGGATGGTATATAGCTGGGATCATTATAATAAGTTGAAATGGGATCTTTGCTCAAATTAGAGCAAAAAAGTGAGGGTTCAAATTACTCTAATCAAATTAACCCTAGGAGGAAGATCACCCTCAATTTTAACCCTAATTTGAGCAAAAAATCCCTTTTCAGCTCATTTCAATGATCTATATATATCCGGACACTTTTATTCTTCCAAGAAAAAGGGGTACTTGTGGCCATGATCAATAATATATATGATATCATCACCGTAGTAAACAAATACACCAATATGTCACGTAGGTAGGGTCAACAAACTATATGGATATTATAATTTTGCCGTCTATATACTTTTATATAATGCAAATACATTAACTAAAATCCTCTCAGCTCGTCACATGAGCCAGCTACCTAACAAGTATAAATGTCTTTGTTGGACATCAAGCGTTCATCAACTACTCACGTACAGCCTTAGTAAATACCCACCAACTTCCCACCATTCTCATTAAGTATATGGCGGCACGTGCATCTCTTCTTCCCCGTCTATAAATGGGGGTTCAAGTGATCAGCCAAAAAAGGAATCACACACATCAAATTGTAGAAACATTAATCAATTAATGGCAAAGATGACTCCTCCTCCTCTCCTGATCCTCATCTTAGGCCTTGCCATCACAACACAATATTGCTCTGCGGATGACGTTCTCCTCTCCCCCGAGGCGCTCTACAGCGGCCGCTCCCTAAACTATGGCCCCTACATGTTCACAATGCAGAACGACTGCAACTTGGTTTTGTACGACTCTGGAAACCCCATTTGGGCGAGCAACACCGGGGGGCGAGGGTACAACTGCCGTTGCGTGATGCAGCGCGACGGCAACCTCGTTGTCTACGACCAGAACAACAACGCGGTGTGGGCCAGCGGCACCTCGGGGGGCGACGGCAATTACGTGCTCGTTCTGCAGAAAGATCGCAATGTGGTGATCTATGGACCGGCGCGTTGGTCCACTGGTACGAATTATAGAGGATCGCGTGGAGTTGTCGTTGTTGCTGCGCAGAATTCTACGCTGCTGTTGTTGCTGCTGCTGCTGCTGCTGGGGAAGTGATTGCTGATGTCGGTGCCAGCGATGCGCGTTGATTATGCTTGTTAGTAATATTGAGGGAATGCTTGCTGAATCTAGTTGTCTGAATAAAATTAAATGAGATGAATGCAGGCTAGAATGCATGCTTAAGCACGTGGTGTTTTTTTAATTTCGTGGATGCAAGCGGTGTCATCGCTGTACTTCATGTCCACTGGCATGAGGTCTAAATAAAGGATTGGGATCCTCCCTCTACTAAAGCATATATATAGTGTCTCCTAATGTGTCCTAATGCATCTTCACCTTTCATTTTGTGCATAAGCACAAAATACGAGGAGGTACTATGTAATGAAAGATGGAGATGTATTAGGAGATATTAGGAGGCACTATGTCTTAGTAGAGGATCCCAATCCCTAAATAAAGAGTTACTTTGATTAGTACATCATATTCCACGAACTAATTAACTTGTTTTCTGTGCTAATAATTCGGTGGTAATGGCAACCATAAGAAGCTAGATTGACGAAGTTTATTAAATAGAGAGATTAATGATGAGAGCAGAGAGGAATTAGAGCTTTTTCAAATTCACAACATACGTGGTAACGTGTACCTTGAACATCTACAAATCTGTAGGCCTTACGAATATAGTTTGTGCAAGAAATCACCTTTGGAGGCTCCTATTTGAAGCAGTCATTCCAACATGTGGATTTTATAGTGAATTATTCTCTTTGAATTGACATGTGGATGTAGGGATGAGTTTTTGAACCACGTTAAATCTTAGTGTTTTCTTGTGTGTGTTATTTTCATTGGAGCAGTTACTTCGTTTCATTAGTTTAATTCGCAGATAAACTCTATAAAGTCGAATAAGTTGTATCAGAGATAAGGTTGTGGCCCAAGGTCGACCTGATGTTGGTAGCCTGGTAGGTACACATGGTGGAAAATCCACTATGGTATCCAAAAATGGTTGTGCATGCCACATTTTCTGCCCACGGATGTTGACGGTGTAGTTAAACATATGAAGTTGTCGCATATGCTAGAAAGATCATAGATGTTGGTAGTCATGTCGCCTCCCATGATTATCAAGATTCTACTCACAATTAATAGGGGGGAAATGTTGAATATTCACGAGTGAGTATATATAGTCACACATTACTTCCTTTCTTGTCAGGCCAATAAGGCCCTTCTCCGGTTGTAAGGGGATCATCAGTTAGTTGAAGTGAGAACCGTTAAGAGTAATGCTTTTTGGACCCAAAACGAGGGACCAAATAAAGGACTGCTGAGTTGGAATGCATTAATTGTTTTATTTATCTCTGCGATCTAGGACACTCGATTAAGTAGCAAGGGACATTTTCAAAATATTGCTTTGTTTCTTCATCTTTCTCCTATCCAGCACTTTCTTCTCTTTCTCCTATTTGATTCATAGGAACTCTGTGCCGCTTAGCACTGTATTTGTGTTGATATTCTGGACTAATTGCTTTGGTTTTGTTGTGAAATGATACTATTGTTCACTGTTTGGATTAGTTCTTCCCATGGATTTTAAGCAATTCAAGGCAAAATAGTCAAACAACATAAATAGTGATGAGATATTATGTCACATGAATTTTACTATTTGTTTGTGTCAACTTGTTGCTTCCCATTTATTTCTCAATAGCTAAACCTTAGCAAAGGAATCAAGTGATTCTTAGGATCCAAACAGAAACATCTTGATTCCTAATCATCTCAAAAGAGAATAAATTTTGTTTGCGAGAGAACGTAAGTCTGCCAATGACCCTAATCGAACCTTGATCATGAATTTTTATCCCAAAGGAAGCTCTGGTTGTTATTGACAGTTCTGCCGACGCGAGACGACAGCGATGATCGTGGAAAACCGGACGATAAAGGATAGTTGTGTTTGATCACCGACGCTAGGTGGGGAGATCACGAAGATGGGAAATAAAATGTTTGGTCGCCGGTTGTGAATTTGGGAAAAGGCTAGTGTTTTAGGATTGGGCCTTCGGTTTATTGATCAAAAGAGATAATCAGTTGTCACATACCAAAATACCCTTAATGCTAGCCAGCTCATTAACAAGTCAATGTACACCTAGATATGCAACATCACATGTCCCATGTGTCCGTTCCATTTTTTGGTCCTCCTAGCACTATTCAATGGTTAAATATTATTTGTATGTTATCTATCCTTAATACCACATCAATTAGGATGATAGAACAATTTCTCTTTATCTTGTATATAAACATCACGATATCAATGAAAAGGTTATCCCCTTCTTCCGAAAGCTCTATACTTATAAAGGTATGAGAGCCACCCATGAACCCTATTGTGCGCGGCGAAAGCGGTTGAATCACACACAAGCCAAACAAGAGAGATCACAACCAAAATAAACAAGCACAATCACCAAATAACACAAAAGATTTATGTGGTTCGGTAATTTCCTACATCCACGGGGCAAGGGGGAAAGATTTTACTAATAGAGAAAGAGAAATACCAAAATAGGGTTACAAAATCTCACCAATAAAACCTAGAACCAAGCTCTCAATTCTCTCACAATCTCTCCTACAATGGATGCTCTATTCCCTGTGAATAGTTGCTCAAAATGACCCTCTTGGTTCTTTTTTAAAACCCTAAACTCGTGTTGATATTTATATCAAACATCAATCCCAAATCAAACAGGAAAACCAAAACAAGCTGAAAACCCGACATGAGTCGACTCATGACTGATGTGAGTCGACTCGTCAAAAACTTTTGACAAAACGACTGGGTTTCGTGAGTCGACTCATAACAGGCATGAGTCGACTCAACCTGATGAGTCGACTCATGTGCATGTATGAGTCGACTCACAATCTAAAAACTAGATTTCTGAATTCTTCCAATAATTCTCCACATCGACGAAGTTTCTCCCAAACTGAGCCGACACCAAAGCATCCACAAACATCCCACTTGTTGCGTCCAAGACACCGTGAAACAATTCACGGTAACAGACTCAATCCATAACAAGTCAGGAATCCAAATGAGAGTTCAAACAATCTTTCCCCATCAAAACAATTAATCCAAAACGGGATCCAAAACGGCTGTATCATAAAGACTGCCTACGTATCCTCTTGCCCAAGGAATCAAGCCTTCTTGTAGTTCATCCAAATGGCCTCCAAAGGCCTCAATCCACTAGAAGAGTTCGCAACCCTTCTCCAACATCACGATCAAGTCTACGACTGATAGCACCTCCAATGGCCCCAAACTGAAACAATCCAAACATCTCCACCTGAGATGAACCAATGGCCATATCCAGACTCCATCAATTAGTTACACTCGAATCGATCAACCTATCATCTGCATCCAAATCAACACGATTCCCAAACTATGTCACATCAGCTGGAATCCCAAATGATGTAGTATATTCTGGAGTCTCCACCTAACGTGGAGTAGCATCACTCTCCACCCGCTGCGATGTCCTAAAAATCTGATCACCACTCTCTACCTGCCGAGAGTCAAACATGACATACCTGCTCAGAACAAAGTCAGAAACCAATACCTGATAATCAAACACGTCTCTGACTCCCAAATGTGCTATCAGATTAAATCTCACATCCACGATGTGACCAAGTGCTGAGTAGCCAAGCATCCGACGAATCTAAATCAGCTCCACCAGATCCAAAATCTCTACATGCAGCAGTCGGCAACCTATGCATAAGATGGCCCAAACATGTCGTAGCCCGCACACTAATGCCAATGCTCGACATCAAACGTTGATCCTCCTCCAGAAAGGAACAGCTCCCCAAATCTGTCATCTTATCATGTCGCCTCAAAGTTTCCACACGAATAAAGTGTCTCCAATTGCCTTGAGCTTGGCACAAACGCAAGAAAGAACCCCTACCATAAATAGAACGTTGGGTTACCTTTTTGCCAACACACTTCTTTCAATTGTTGTGGACTTCTAGGACTTCACACCAACAGGACCTGGTTGCAACCCACCAATGCCTAGAACAATCCCCAACTGCGGAAACCACATACCTATTACCTCCTAATGATGCTCCCTTGGAAGGCCCCCAAATGCCTGAATGAACACCCCTCAGAAGACCTATCGAATGATGGATAGAAGTGCCAAACTCCACCCCGGTTTTCTTGCTCATACCAATGGGTTCATAGGATTTCAAACTGTAGGTCAAAACACTCCTCAACAACCTATGCACGGCATTACCAATCAAATAACCTAGCATCAAACAAAGCCACAGTCTAGCCGAATCTGATGAAGTTGCCAGTTCCCTATCAATCGCCATGCTTCCAAGCAAATAATACAAATTGCTCCTTCTGACACCCTTCATCACAATCATGGATCCTAATGTGACCTTCAAACATGCATCCACCAAGGTCACCATATAGCCTGCTGCCTCCAAAGCTCCAAGTAAAATAATATTCATCTTCAATTGTAGAACGAACCTTACATCATCTAACTCTCACATCATCCCGTCACTCATCCTAATCTGAATGGTACCAATACCACCAATAGAGCATTTATGTCCATTACCTATGAGTATAACATCCTCTCTTTCTAACTTCTGAAAGCTGGAGAACCAATCCCTCCTAGGGCAAACGTGGTAAGAAGTACCAGAATCTAACATCCACTCTGTAGAGTCGGCAACATAAACTGACGATAGTGCAGACAATGAATAGCCTGAAGAATCTGAATCCTAATTGTTGCCACTAGTCTTGATAACATTCACCTCTGAAGCTTGTACAACTTTCCCCTTATTCTTCTTGGCTCGATCTAACTTTGGGCATTCAGCTTTCCGATGTCCATCCTCTTTACAAAAGCACATTGATTCCTACGAATCCCATGATGTGCACTTCTAGACTGCGACCTCCTGCTTCGGTTTGAACCACGGCCTTGAACTACTAATACATCTCCGATGCCTTCTCGGAGGACTCATCGACACTCTTCCTCAACTCATAATTCACCAATGCTGAGATCACCTCCTTGTAGCTAATAGTCGTTCTTTCATTAATCATAGTGAGAAAAAGGTACCACAATCATCCTCAGGCAACAAACACAAAAGTAACATCGCCTTGTCTTCATCCTCAATCATGATATCCACATTGGTCATGTCTGAAAGTAGCTTCGTGAAGTTGTTAACATGCTCCCTGATGGAAACTCACATCTTCATCTTGAACTGGTAAAACCTCTTCTTCAAGTGAAGCTAATTCTCAATGCTCTTAGTTGTTTGGGTGAAAAATCGATTTCTTCATTATATAATTTATTACAACTTCAGTCGTTACAA